ACTGCGCCTGCCACGAGGAAGACAGCAAGCGGCACCAGCGGCGACAACGCGCGCCGCAGCCCCTTCTGTGAGGCTCTGGGTACTGCGCCTGCCACGCGGAAGGCAGCCAGCGGCACCAGCGGCGACAACGCGCGCCGCAGCCCCTCTGGAGGCTCTGGATACTGCACCTGCCACGAGGAAGACAGCAAGCGGCACCAGATATGAGTGGGAAAGGTGAAGAGGATGAGGATGGTGATCTGTTGAGATGATATGAGTGGGAGAGGTGAAGAGGCGGATAAGTGAAGAGGCGGATAAGAGGATAATGTGAGTGGAGTGAGTGAGTGAGTGAGTGAGTGAGTGAGTGTGGAGTGAGTGAGTGGAGTGAGTGAGTGGAGTGAGTGAGTGGAGTGAGTGGAGAGTGGAGAGTGGAGAGTGGAGAGTGGAGAGTGGAGAGTGGAGTGAGTGGAGTGAGTGAGTGGACGGAGGGAAGGGGGGAGGGACGGAGGGAAGGACGGGGGGAGTCGGGCGGGATGGCAGCCAAAAAACTAGAACCCCACACAGAGATGTGGGGAAAAAAGGCCCAGATATACTTTTCTTTCCAGGATCACTCCTTGTCCATCATTGTCCACTGATTTCCTGGCTTTGTTGATTTTAGTTTTTCTTTTCCAATGAGTAAATCCCCTCACGTGGTGAATATATATATATATATATTCTTTCTATTCTGTCCCGGTTCCTGAAGCAAATCTAAGATTTTGGCCACGTGGTGCATGCGTCCTGAAAACGATCGTTCCATTTTGGTCTGAAGCTCTCTGAGTTCGGCTGCTGTTTTGAAGATGGATTCCGCCCCATCAGGTTTGGCTGTTTGTGCCTTTATTGAAAAGAAAAAAAGAAAAATAATATATATATATATATGTCATTTCGGCTCTGCAGAAGTTGACAGGATTTAGTCATTTTGCTCGCCATGCAGTCAGACCACGTAGGCGAGCAGAGTGAATATGAGGAAGATGCAACATCGGTGACGTCAGTATCTTCTGGTACCAAGCTTATACAGAGCGTCAAGGCCAGCCTGGAAGCAGCCACTCAGATGTTTTATGAGTCCCTTCAAGCGGCTTATCGACCGCTTGTTTATACTGTCCATGATGTCAAATGTACTGCCATCTTCCTCTTTGTGCAACCAGATGTGGTCTCCGTGTGCGAAGATCTGAGGAGAGTGACTCCGGAAGCGACCAGCCCAACGAGCGACCAGCGGTGCTGTTGCAGGCTGCGCCGGCAGCGCAGGCAGCTACGCTGCACGCGATGGCAGTGCCTCGCATGAGTTTTGCTGCCTGGTTGAAGAAGAGAAGAAAGCCACCAAAAAGGTTTCCCTTTCCACAAGGACGACATGCACAAGGCCACTTGTGGGAAAAAACATTCAGAGTTCATGATGAGTGATGAGGCGCAGTATTGGAGTTGTTTTGTTGGGCAAACACCTTTTGAGAAGTTCCAAGGGTCAAGTTCGCCGAACAACGACCACGCATTCTCTCTGTGAAAAACGGCAGCCCACTCCATGATCATTATGGATTCCAGGCACAGGTGTGGAGGCCATCGCTATTAGGTTAAGGTCATTGCTATTAGGTTGGAGGCCATTGCTATTGGGTTGGAGGCCATTGCGATGAGGTTGGATGCCATCGCTATTAGGTTAAGGTCATTGCTATTAGGTTGGAGACCATCGCTATTTGGTTGGACCATCGCTATTAGGTTGGAGGCCATTGCTATCAGGTTGGAGGCCATCACTATTGGGTTGGAGGCCACTGCTATTAGGTTGGAGGCCATCGCTATTAGGTTGGAAGCCATTGCTTTTAGGTTGGAGGCCATCGCTATTAGGTTGGAGGCCATTGCTAGTAGCTTGGAGGCTATTGCTATTAGGTTGGAGGCCATCGCTATTAGGTTAAGCTCATTGCATTGCTCTTAGGTTGGAGGCCATCGCTATTAGGTTGGAGACCATTGCTATTAGGTTGGAGGCCCATCGCTATTGGCTTGGAGGCCATTGCTAGTAGGTTGGAGGCCATCGCTATTGGGTTGGAGGCCATTGCTATTAGGTTGGAGGCCATCGCTATTAGGTTGGAGGCTATTGCTATTAGGTTGGAGGCCATCGCTATTGGGTTTGGATCCACTATTGCTAGTAGGTTGGAGGCCATCGCTATTCGGTTGGGAGCCATTGCTAGTAGGTTGGAGGCCATCGCTATTAGGTTGGGTTAAGGTCATTGCTATTAAATTAGGTTAGAGGCCATCGCTATTAGGTAGGAGGCCATCGCTATTAGGTTGGAGGCCAGTGCTATTTGGTTGGAGGCCACCGCTGTGGGGTTGGAGGCCATTGCTAGTAGGTTGGAGGCCATGGCTATTAGGTTGGAGGCCATCGCTAGTAGGTTGGAGGCCATTGCTATTAGGTTGGAGGCCATTGCTATTAGGTCAAAGTCATTGCCGCCCATCGCTATTAGGTTGGAGGCCATTGCTAGTAGGTTAGAGGCCACCGTTATTGGGTTGGAGGTTGTTACAACTAGTTCGGAGGCCATTGCTATTGGGTTGGAGGCCATCGCTATTAGGTTGGATGCCATTGCCAAAAGGTTGGAAGCCATCGCTGTTGGGTTGAAGGCCATCGCTATTTGGTTGGAGGCCATGGCTATCAGGTTAAGGTCATTGCTGTTAGGTTGGAGGCCATCCTATTAGGTTGGAGGCCATTGCTATTGGGTTCGAGGCCAAGGTTGGAGGCCATCGAGGCCATTGCTACTAGGTTCGAAGCCATTGCTATTGGGTTAGAGGCCAGGCTATTAGGTTGGAGGCCATTGCTATTAGGTTGCAGGCCATTGCTATTAGGTAGGAGGCCATCGCTGTTGGGTTGAGGCCATTGCTATTATGTTGGAGGCCATCGCTATTAGGTTGGAGGCCATTGCTATCAGGTTGGAGGCCATCGCTATTAGGTTTGGAGGCCATTATTGCTATTAGGTTGGAGGCCATTGCTATTAGGTCAAAGTCATTGCCGCCCATCGCTATTAGGTTGGAGGCCATCGCTATTAGGTCGGAGGCCATCGCTAGTACGTTGGAGGCCATTGCTATTAGGTTGGAGGCTATCGCTTTTAGGTTGGAAGCCATTGCTTTTAGTCTGGAGGCCATCGCTATTGGGTTGGAGGCCATTGCTACTAGTTTTGGAGGCTATTGCGATTTGGTTGGAGGCCATAGCTATTAGATTGAGATCATTGCATTGCTATTTGGCTGGGGGCCATCACTTTTAGGTAGGAGGCCATCTGCGATTACCCAAAGGGGCCCCAAATCAACTCAGAACCAACACGTCAGCCCCAAGCTGCTCAGCTGCCCATTTGTCGCGTCGGTTAGGCGTACCAACTCATCCTTGAGCCAAAAACATCGAGTAGTTTTACTCGACGCAGCTCCAAGGTGAAACCTTTGAAGGGGTCAGACACCTAGGCACTTAGCAAAGGCTATGCAATTCACACATCGCTATCAGGTTGGAGGCCATCGCTATTAGGTTGGAGGCCATTGCTATTAGGAGGCCATCGCTATTGGGCTGGAGGCCATTGCTATTAGGTTCGGAGCCTCGCTATTAAGGCCAGAGGTCATCGCTGCAGGAGGTTGGAGGCCATCGCTGTAGTAGGTTGGAGGCCATCGCTGTAGTGAGTTGGAGGCCATCGCTATAGTAGGTTGGAGTCTATCGCTAGTAGGTTGGAGGCCATTGCTACAGTAGGTTAGATGCCATCGGCCATCGCTATAGCAGGTTGGAGGCCATTGCTAGTAGGTTGGAGGCCATCGCTGTAGTAGGTTGGAGGCCATCGGTGTTCCAGCTCATCTGAAAAGTCCCACGTTTCATCGTTGGTTTCGAGACCGGATTCGAGACTGATGGTTGGTCTCAAAGTCGGGCAGGCACCTGCGCACCCTGCGTTTTTCATGCCACTCGTGGATGTGCGAGAGGACGACGTTGTCGCTATTGCCATCATGATCACTCCCCTGTGTGGGTGCAAGATCGACCTCGCAGTAGCACACGTGAGATGATCAAGAAACGCTTGCCGCTGCTCCTTCAGTCCGAGAATTTGGAGACTTGGCCTGAAGAAATGAGAAATGGACAAGAGGGAAAGACATGGAAAGACATACTAGGTTGGAGGCCATCGCTATTAGGTTGGAGGCCATCGCTACTAGGGTGGAGGCCATTGCTTTTAGGTTGGAGGCCGTCGCATCTTTGACTTGCAAGGATCAAGCGGAGGCAGAAGCCAATGCAATGGCATGCCGGCACCACTTCGCTCGCCAGGTTTTGGAGAACCTGTTAGCCTTACAGACTTCGCCAAACTTGGATGGTCATCCCAATTGAATCTCGGTAGGAAGCAATCGAGTAGGGAGTGACAAGGGATGAACATCAAAGCTTGGCTAGTTTCACCTCAGGTAGGTGATCCGTTTTTGCACAGAAAGCACTTCATGAGGAGTCCTGGTACCCAAAGAACATCAAAGAACTATGTGTCATCATGTGTCATCCGGATTTGATGAAAATATGCACCGGCGCCAGAGGATGGGCAGGCTCCGATTGGTTGCACGGCCATCTTCAGTTCTTGCCATTTGCTCCTGCACATCTACAGTTCTTCCACACCGTCTTGAGCCTTTATGTGGCCACAGCCCATTAGCGCTTTCACCACAAAATTCCCGACTGTTCCGTCAGATATGATTGACATTCCTCATCAGGCATGTCGATAGTTTCCTTTCCACGTGTCGACCTCAACCTGTCCTTCAGGCGCTCCTATAACCTTTCTTAAGAGAGCACTTCTCAGCCCGCCATGCCAGAATTGTGTCTTCAACTCCCATTTGCTAGTCCGCTGACCTGCATGTCAGCCATTTTTGTGCGAAGCGCTACTCTTGAGAAGAAAAGAGAATTCCTCCGGCTCTACCCAGTTCGGGCCTACAAAGATGATCTAACAGGGCTTGGAGGCCATCGCTGCGAACGTAACAAGAAAGCTTTCTGGTCACTAAAAGCTACTAATGTGGACATTGCTAGTAGGTTCCTTAAAGTGTTTCTTCTATAACACTAATAATTAAGCTCATGAACGGACTTGCAAAGATGATCAAACTACAACCTAGTAGCTTCTTGTTACTAGTAGCGATCAAAAGATAAACTGAAAAGCTTCTTGTTACTACAGGCTTATCAAAGACTTGCCATTTTGCGTGATTCTGCGTTTGGACATGTTTACTGTAGAGGTTGTCAAGCAGGGAGCTGGCATCCGTTGGCGTCAGTGAGCCTCTAGTAGCACTTAATCCCTTACCAAGCACACAGGTGACTTCACTCACGTAGCATGGGTGCCAGATATGCGAATCAGCAAGTAAGTCGTGACAAAAGACATAATGTTCAAATCCTCACCAAGATATGATACGTAGCTGTATTTTGCTGGATCATTGTCGTGCTATACTGTGCTTTCTTGCGAGGCGGCCCAAACTGCTGGAAGCTGATTGATGAAGAAAGATGGTGTTCCAAAGTGCATCCAATTAGGACTGTGATGAAAGGACGATCATCAATCCGCTGGTGTGTGAGATCATCAGTTTCCACCGACCCAGCTGCACGCAGATGTCCGGTCATAGTTCTCAGGCGGAACGCCTCCCTTTGAGCTTCCAACTCATGGCATGGGTTGGAGGCCATCGCTGGTAGTTCGGAGGATATAGTGTGCTAGGCCCACGTGCGTGGCGCACCCCTTGAACTGCCAGGCTGGGGAAGCAAATCCCCAGGCACGTGATTGAAGGCGTCGCAGGCAGCAGATTTGGAGGTAGGGCGTAAGATGGAGTAAGGTAAAAGAGGGGGTGCCAGAGTCACTGCAGTACTTTTTGTTGGTGAATCGAGTATATGCGGCATTCGAAGGGTTCTCGTTCAACTCTGAGGGTGCAGGGGTAGCATGGTAGAGCTGTGTTCGCGCGAGGTTTGCTTTCGTGCCTGCAACTGTTTGGATGTGATCGATAAGACCCTTCCATTGGGGGAGGACTTGGAGGTCTTGGATGGAAGCATGAAGTGTCAGACTCATGTGAAATAGCGTCGAAACCTACCGTGTCCAAGTGTGAAGGATGATTTTGCTGCGCAGGTGCAGTGTTTCGTGAGTTCAGCTTTGCCATTTGGCGTTCTCAGGGTTGTCGTTTTGGAGGTGTGGCATGTCACTGTGCTATTGACATGTGCTCTTGAAACACTGCCTTGAAGTTGCGTTTTTGTGGTCTCAGATAACAAACACTTTGAGGGAGCTGGGTGAAGCATGTATCGTTCCAATGGTAGTGAGGGGCACAAATTGTGTTTGACACGTCAAGGTGTGGCACGGCGTCACTTTCGGCAGGCACAGTACTTTGTGCATGTTGGAGGTGCTGGGGTGCAGTGTGTGTGGCAGGTGCAGGGAATCATGAGGTTGCATGTGGCTGTCAAGTCACTCCACACGCAGCGAGCATAGAATACAGCTCGGCACTGCACAAAGGCAAAAGTGTTTGACGATGCTAAAAGAAATTTCTAAATGCCCTCATTAAACTCAAAGCTGGCCCATTCGATCCCGCATAAAAACAATTGTTTCCTAAGTCAACAATCATTTGATCGCACTCGACCCCCCTTTTTTTCTACGGTAACGCCAAGTCCCGCAAATCAACGGCCACATTGCACACATTGTTTCACAACATAGTGCTTCCCAAACTCTGTTTTTGGTGCTCAAAAAAAGTTGCCAATAGACAACTCATATTCCTACGACACATCCCAACCAATGTCCTCACGCAATTCGCCTAGACTGCCTTCTTTCACATTTGGCAGGTCTTTCAAAGTCTGGTTCAGGTGGATTCCATAGTATCGTGACCAGTTGGCACGTGGAGTTGAGGGACTGCGAGGATGAGTGAAGGTTCGGATCAGGCTGGAAATATAAATTGTCGTGTGTTCCTTGAGACTCCAAGGGTAAAATTCGACAAGTTGCACGGCTTGGCAGGCCTTTTGCAAAAAGCATTGTTGGCCAATCAGCATCCAAATGGCCTTGTTCCAGATGCAATCGACATCACCTTGGCGCCGTTTCAAGACAAAAAGAGCCTCCGTGACAGATCCTGTGTTCAACCCTGCTCAGACAATGTTAGAAAGTTCATCAAGATGTCTAAGCATTTGCAGTGATCCAAGACCTTTCAAGATCCTCACTTTTTCTGACTCAGACAAGACACACACTAGTACGATAAAGCCACTCATGGCCAAAACACCCTTGGTTGACCCGATTGGCTGATTGGCCGGCTTGAGAGGACGAGAGGTGAATGTGAGCGTATGTGAGAGGCCTCCCTTAGGGCAGTTTCTCGCATCACTGCTACTAGTAGCGATGCCCTTTGCTCCTAGTAGCGTCCATGCTACTGGCGCCGTTAGTAGTTTCTTGCTCCTAGGAGCGATGCCCTTTGTTGCTTCTTTGTTTTGTGTCTCGAACAAGTCTAGCCGAGTAGTTTTCCGTTGCTCAGGCACCTTAAACGAGAGGTTGTCAAGCTTGGTTGTAGAATGCAACATGATAAGTGTGCCCATTGACAGTGCCGGTGATCCATTGGTCATGGTGAACAACACCCATGGTTTGCACCCTACTTGAGTCTTGTAGATACCTGAGCTCATGCCAAATACAATAAATATGCATGAAGAGCAAATGCTATGACCAGTCCGACCCAAAGACAGAAACCTCCAGAAGGGCTCTGAGCTGAGGAGATGGAAGACTTGCGAAAGAACCTGGAGCTCATTTGGATCCATTCCGGTGATGCTCACAGGGCCCCTCGCTGGCAGCGCCGGTCGAGCAAGACACAGCCATCAACAGAGACGCGTACGAAACGGTCGGGACCAGGAGTGGCCTTTCGCCCCTTCTTGCTCCTAGTCGCGATGCCCTTGTTACTAGTAGCAAACATTGCTCCTAGTAGTACGGCCAGGAGCCCCTAGTAGCGTCCTTGCTCCTAGT